ATGAGCGGAATATCCCATGTGTTCTTGCTCAGAAAAATCCCTGGCCAGGGTCATTCGGATTGAGAGAGAGAGTTCTCCGAGAGAATCCATTAGAGCGAGACTCGAGTAGAAACCGTATGGGTTTGACAACACCATGCTCGATATACGGTCTCAAAGATATTAGATGGATGAGGGACTATAGGTACACGGTAACTGAGGACAGACAAGTCCAATGGATTGGATTTCCTTGTATCGTCTGGGGACTACGGCATAGTGGCCTAGTACGTCCATAGTCGATGAGTCAAGTGAATTATTACAGAGATAATAATTCACTGAGTTAGAAGGAGTTTTGACAGATATGACTCACGGCCAGCTCGATATTGGGCCTAGAGGGTCACAGACATATGGTAGGCATTGCGATGAGTAGAGGTTCGGATATGAGATATCCGATGGAGCCCTTGTCTTATTGGATGCAGATCCAATACCCACTAGGGGAGGGCCCATTAGGGTTTGACAGGGGACCTCTATAAATAGGAGGGATTCAGAGCCTCATAGGCTAGAGCCTTTGCTTGCCTCTTATATTCTCCTCCCCCTCTCCACCTCATAGTAGGCCTGGAGTTTTGAGGAGCGTCATCGCAGCCCTGTTGTTTGGATCACCGCTAGAGAGGATGATGCTTGACCTCCTTCACCCTCTCCTAAAGATCTGCAAGAAAATAGGGATATACAATCTCCCTAGGTAACACAATCTACTCTATACGCAGTTTTAAGTTTCGTGAATTTTGCGCACTAATCTTCGCACGACGATAAACATCTCTTTCGGAATCGGGGATTTTGTTTTCTTGTTCTTCCGCTGCGCATGTGATGTCGCCCCCAAGATTTTCCAACAGAAATGCCATAAGGTGCAACAACCGACAACAATCGTATACACAATTGCCAATGGACAACAGCCTTGTGGTAGTTGGCCTACCTTGGTCGCAGGTGATTATAGTAGTATTGCAAGCTGTGGCGGCTGCAACAATGTCATCATAACATTTACTGACCATAGCCAATGTCAACTACACACCGAAGTTTAACGATTGCTTCGAGTGGAAGCGTGAGCACAATTGCACTCCCAACAACCCTCATTGCAACCATCTAGCGATGCATATACCAAGCCATGCATGGGCACAGTGGCACAACATCGCACAATGATCAAAGAGGTTATTGATCGATAGCATAAGGATAATCGCCGCCTAAAGTGACGGTTGTAGGCTATGCATAGTCGACGGCCGCACACCGAATTATGTTTTAAAAAAATGATATTTTTACCCCTCAAAACTTAAAAACATATGTGTCCTTAAATTTTACCTTTCAATTATACCCTTCAAAAATTAAATATTTTCATTATATATGCCATAAAAAAGTATACTTTTGCCCTTGAAAGTAAAATTTTTTTAACTAATGTTCTTAATTATAATATTAATTAATTTAATTTATTTTAATAAAATATTTTGATTGAACTTGACCATGATTGTATTTTGATTGCTTAACTGGATTTAAAATTGATCAATCAAGTTTTGATCAAATTTGAAGAAAGTCAATTTTTGACTTTGATTTATTTTAATTTTGACGAGCCTAATTAAGCAAATAATTAGCCCAAATCTATAAGCTTAATTTGGGTGATCAATCAATTTTTAATCGAATTTGAAGAAAATCAAATTTTGACTTTGATTTATTTTAATTTTGGTAAGCCTAATTGAGCAAATACATAGCCGAAATCTATAAGCTTAATTCAGGTGGCCCAATTTTGAGCTTGCCCAATTAAATAAGGTTGATTGGTCTAATTTCGGATTCTATGTGAAATTTAAAAAATCATAAATTATGATTTTGTTTTATTTTTTCATATAATATATTGATAAATTTTTATATCAATAAATAAAAATATAATTATTGTTCTTGGATATTTATTTAGTTATTCACATGCATATATTTGAAATTATGAAATAATATTTATTTTTTATGTAAAGACATTCTTTGTGATTTATTATGATTATAGTTATCATATGAATTTTTCTTTATGCTGATTAATATTTAATAATTATTATGATTATTATTTTATTATTATAAAATTATTTTGATATATATTAAAATGAAAAAAATTAGTGAATATTATTTGTAACTTATATCTCTAAATTTTATCTAACTAATAGTTACTAAAGTGGCTTGAAACGAGAGACTTATGAGATTTAAATTATAATAAATTTTTTTTATAGAATATTTTAAATTATATTTTATATTATTGTATTAGTCATGTAGTTGTCAAAGTGGCCTAGAAGCCACTAATCAAGTTTTATGGCTGTAATGTTTTATCTCAGGATTTGATATAGTCAAACTCAATTATTAAATCATTAAAGATATTTTGTGATATATTACAATCGTTTTCTTCTCAAAAAATAGAAAGTACTCTAGTAGTTCTATGTATTATGGTATAATTCTATTAGATTTATTGTTAGAGAAAATATATAGAAACAATTAATGTCAATTAAAAACTAAAAATTTACCATATTAATTGTTGATCTATTCACTTAGGACCTATAACTTAGAGTGTTTAAAAGATCATATTTTTATAATTGAGTTTGTAAGTAATTCATAAAAGATATATTGATATATGTTTGAGTGCATATTATAATTGACATTCTTGCTTATGTAATTAATATTATTTATTTCTATCATCCTATTCACATTTATATATATGTATATTATGATTGAATGTGATAATATGATTATCTTGACAAGATAAATTACAAAGGTACTTAGACTGCATTAAGAAGGACTAACAATGATGTGATAAATAGAAGAAAGTATAATATTTATAACATATAATTATTATAACTCGTATTAATAGTCAAACTTAATTAATATTATGTTTATTGTACTTATTAGCCTGTTTTATAAAATTCGTGTACACATCTTATTTTTTTTCGAAGTCTCATAATCTAATTAAGTAAAATATTTTTTTAATATTTTTTATTTTTATTTTAATTTTTTTTATATTTTACCAATTAATGAGTTAAGTGGTAGAATGTTGGGCTTGTAACCCTATTTGATTAATATATATATTATAAATATGATTAAATTCTAATTACGATTATCGATCAATAGAAAATAAGTTTAATTATGATAGGATTCTTTAGGAGCTGATTTTGATAAAAGAAGCTCTCGTAATTACCATCATCGATCCTCTGCTCTTGTCCATGATAAGAATAAGACCTTTTAAGAAGGAAAAATATTAGTTATTGAGAGATTATAGATCTTCTCTCATATCATCTTTGTTTATAATCCATTTTTCATAGTAATCTTGTGAAGAATAAGATGAGAAAGAGAATACGAGTTTAGCTTTTCTTGTAGATCGATATCGTTGACTTTTCAATTCGATAACGATACACCTACATATTAGATAAAGAAGTTCTAAATAGTATCGAATGATACATATCTTATATTTAATTTTAATTTTTGATATAACAATAATGTATTATGATTTTTATGTCTACAAAATGATTATTCCTCACAAAGATCAATCACTATGCTTTTTCTCACTAAATTCAGTCTCCTTAATTATTCTCACATGTAATTTTGTTAGATAATGAATGGGATTTTAATTCCTCGATGAAGCTCCGAATCGAGAGACGAAGAGGATTAGCAGCAGATCGAACTTCACCGACATGCTGCCTTGCAAGCTACAGAAGAATGCCAAGCACAGTCGCAGCCGTCGTATCTTTGACGGGGCCAATTGCTTACGGCACGGATCACAGTGACAACGACCACGATTCCACTGTCTCACACTGCTGCACCGCTGCGTTACGGCCACGAAAGCCGGCGAAAATGACATGCACGCACCGTAACCACTGGCACGCTCATGTTGGCAGCAGTAGCAACGTCCCTTTCACCAACTTGCGATCTGTTCTAACCTTCTCCCGTTCTACGTATGCAAATGCTGATCGCCCGCTTCGTTAGCCACAAGCCACCGATGGCCGATGGCGCCTTGCGAGGTGCAGCAGGTGATGTTTGCCGAGAACCGGAAAGAGATGTTCTTTCCTCTTCCTTTTCATGGATTCTAAACCCTTGGTCATTTCATCGATCACCTGGCGACACGGCTTCCACGCATCACAAGAGGGTCCGGGTTGAAGACGAGGTCTGTTTCTGACTGCAGCTGGTGATGTCTGCCAAGAACTAGCAAGAGATGTTGTTTCCTTCTTCCCCTCCGATTCCAGATTGGTTACTTCGTTTGAGTTCGTTCCTCAGCACCATTAATGAGATCTTCTTGGATTCAATCTGCAACCTTGGTGGAGATTTGGGTGGACTGGACCCTTGGTCATTTCGTCGATCACCCGGCAACGCAGTTTCCACACGTCACAGGCGGCTCCAGGATGAAGACGACTCACACTATCCTTGCAACATCACATGCATACGACAGAACCTACCGTGATGTCTCGGTCATTTGTTAGGGGAAGAACAAGAACAGACGTAAAGAAACATGCGAGAGACGATGAGATAGATCTGTATTGAGTAAGTTTAATTGGAGTTTATGTCTGGACTGATAACATTTTTGGTATAATTCCATATATATATATATCTTTTTTTGCAAGAAAAAAAATATTAGAGTTTATGTCTGCACTGATAACATTTTTGGTATAATTCCATATATATATATATATATATATATCTTTTTTTTGCAAGAAAAAAAATTATATAAATATATATATCATTATCTTTTTTTTTTTTTTGTGGCAAGAAAAAAGTATTTCGTTGAAATTTTTTGGGGGCAATGGATAAGTGCCTTCAAAATCTTTATCAGCCGAATTAAGTGAGATTTTATGTTAATACTCTTTTATTATTGAAAAGCCTTTTAATATTATTGATGATACATCCAACATAATTCCTACAGTTAAACTGTAATATCGGAAAATGGACAGCTCCGAAAAAAAAGGGGAAAGAAAGAAAGAAAGAAAGATCGCTGAAAATAAGCGAGCAATAGGAAACAAACAGAGGACACAAAGATTTGTCCGAGTCTTTGCGCATCTTCCCATCTTATAGGGAAGCCAAGCGGCTGCGTCAACGCCTACTGCTGGTGCTCCACTCGGAGGCCGCCGAACTCCCAAGTCGGGGAGCAAGGGATCGGGGAGCGGAGAGGACACGAACGAAGGGGAGGAGGAGAGAAGCGATGGGCATCCCGAGCGACGACGTGGTGATCATTCGGCCGCCGGAGAGGCCGGGAGAGCCGAGCTTGATCACCATCAGCTGCCCCGACAAGACCGGCCTCGGATGCGACCTCTGCCGCGTGATTCTCCTCTTCGGGTTGAACATTGTACGGGGAGGTGAACCCTGGTCCTCTTTTCGCCCCTCTTTGCCCCGTCGAGTTCTTCTGTTTTCCCCAAGTAAAGATCTGAATCTTGGTGTGTTTTCCGTGTCAAAGTCGAAACCTTTTCTCTCTTTTCAACCCAGCAAGTCCGTCTTCACGCGATTTTTGGGAGGGAAACGAGATGAATTCTTCTCTTTCCTTAAAAAAGATTGATCTCGTTGAGGTTTCCGTGTGAAAGTTGAAATCTTTGTTCGTCTTTTCGACCATACAATTGTTCTTGATGCGATTCTTGCTCGACTTTATACGTGATCTTGGCTGTTCTCTATTTCCTTCTGACAAAAAGAGAAAGAAACATCGTATATGGTTTTTGTGGAAGAACTGAAACGCGATTTGGTTTCCAGATTTCAGCACGGATGGTAAATGGTGCTATGTACTGTTTTGGGTGGTGGAGAGGGGTAGGAAGGCGACGAGGTGGGCCTTGTTGAAGAAGAGGCTGATTGCGGCCTGTCCGCCGGCTTCGTCCCCGTTGGGGATCGATAGCTACTACTTCAACAGACGTCAGGAGACGGCCACAGAGCAGAACCCTCAGGTCTTTTTGCTCATGTTCTCGTGCTACGACAGGATGGGCCTTTTGCATGGTAATAATATTACTCTTCTTTGTTCTTCTGTTGTTGCTTATCATGCTTCAATTTGTATGGAATCTGGATTCTCTTTAAATCTAGGAATCTTGGATCTTATCGTTCTGTGGAATCTTCAAGTTGCTTCTATAACATTGCACATATGCTTCTTGTGTGGAACGTTTTATCTATATACTTGTTTTCCTAGATGTAATCAGGTTTCAGAGCATTCCTTTGTTTCGAGATTATACTGTATTGGTTTCATTATTTTCTCTTAGTTTCGTATGCGCAGATAGTTTGAGCTTGCATCTCCTTTCGTTCGTGCACAGTCTGGAGTTTATCTGTGGATGTATGAGTTTATTGGGTTTGCACTCTCTAGTCGTGTTTTCTTTTCTGTAAGAGAGACAATTAATTGAGGTCTGCTGCACTTATGTGCATGTTTAGTTCTAAACAAACTCCCTCCTTTGGGTCTTTTGCCTATGCCGATGTGATGCATGTGTGTGCACTTTCTTTCTCTTATACTTTTTTGAGTCCTTTTCACCCCTATTTCCAAGAGCATCCTCGAATTGTTCAGTTTTGAGCATTTTAGCATGAGATAATTTCTTTTATTATGAAAATGGCAGATGTTACGGAGGTATTGTGCGAGTTGGAGCTTACAATCAGGAGGGTGAAGGTATCGACAACTCCGGATGGGAGAGTCGTGGACCTCTTCTTGGTTACGGACACCAGGTTCCTTACATTTCCAATAGCATTCAGAAAGTCTCTTTGTTTTGCCTAGTATCCAAATTCTTGTTTTCTGATCAATTGTTGTTAGCATTAGTTCATGAAAGGAAAATCTTTTTTGACCACTGATTGGAAAACAAAAAACAAAAACCAGTTGGCCATGTTGTAATTATTTCTCTAAAAATATTAAAAGTTTATGGCCTTTTGGGTGATGGGCTGCTAAAAAAAACAGTGATGTCGTAAAAATTCACACTGTTTGGGCAAGGTGCAACAACATTTTTAGTTTGTGGTTATATATGAGAGAAAAAACCCCATTTAAAGCAGCATAGATTCTTGGATATGTATACTTCTATTGTTAATATTGAGTATCCAAGGATACAAGAGACACTTATTTGGTCGGGAGATCTATGGAAAGTTGTTTTAAAATATGCATTGCTAAAGCAACAAGAGATATGAAGTTCACTGCAAGATACTTGTCGCAAGATTTTGTTCGCTATTGATATCTGATACTTATGATTTAAGACTAGGATCCATCTTGCGACTTGCAAACCACTGATCCCTGGGGCACAACCTGGCAGAGGGGTTTGAGATTTCGATTGATGGGGATTTGAGTACGCTGATGAACATCCTATATTAGTTAGTCTTGTCATATCTCTGGCTTGGAATTTGAGAAGGATGGCAACAATAGCATTGCTCTCTAACCCAACCGGTAGGGATCGCTATGTTTCTTCTTCTCGTTTCTCCAGCAGCTACCACCATCAAGTGGAGAAGTGAAAAACTTGAAACAATTTTAGCATTTGCAGAGTTAATAAGTGACTGATCAATTTCCAAAACAGTATGACATACTGGTTTAGAATGAATTGGAATCGATCAATTCAGGAAATAGCTTCAGCTTTTTGTCTGGTTCATTGAAATGAGTTTTGGCTGAAATGCTGATTTACCATGAACTGGTTTGCACCAACCAGAATGATTGGCATCATGTGGTCTGGCAATCCTTGGTAGTGGCTAATAGGAGTTCAAGGCAGTGACCTTTTCACTCATTTCTTTCTTGATTTTCTCGTGCAATTGGTCCTAGCTTTTCTGTTATATGGTTGGTGACAGGAGCCTGTTGCTGGTAACAGTTGACCTTAAAGGATCGTTGATTGCCATTTCTAAATGTTAGGTTCTATAAACTGGAAAGTGGAAACTGGATATTTTTTCTACTTTAATGGTTTTGAAAGCCACTATAAATCCTAGATCACAATCTATGATAGAAGAAGCATTACTGAAGTCTTATAAACTTTACATGATGATGTGTGTATATATGTGGATTTCGCCTAGCTGTTTGCTTCCTTTCCAGCTTATACCATAACTGATAACTATGGTGATGATTTCAGGGAGCTTCTCCATACAAAGAACAGGAAGGACGAGGCGTGCACTCAACTGAGTGCTGTCTTGGGGGATTCTATGTGCAGTTGTGACATTGAGCTGGCAAGCGCAGAGCTTGCTGAATGTTTGCAAGCATCATCTTTTCTACCTCCTTCTGTGACAGAGGACTTGATTACCCTAGAGTTTCAAGAAGAACCTTCAAGTTCTCTTCCTAGGTCTAGTGTTTCGGTGGACAACTCTCTCAGCCATGCTCATTCACTGATTCAAATTCAATGTCATGATCATAAGGGCCTCCTCTATGACATCATGAGGACCCTCAAGGATTACAACATCCAGGTAATAAACGAGAAATAAATAGACAAACATTAATCTTGTACTTTGTAGTGGCAATACTTATCTCGTCTTGAAATGGCTTCATGAGTCTACGGTTTATATTTCACTGTTCATAGTGCAAAACTAAGGTAATTTTGTTTTTTTATTGTGCCTTCATGAGTCTACGGTTTATATTTCACTGTTCATAATGCAGTAGGATAGGATAAAATCACTTTCCAGCAGTGGGTAATCTTCGTAGAATTTGTCCTCCTTTTGCTAATCGTTCTCTACTTTGAATGCTCGTTTGCCATTATAATAACAGCAATCTTTTTCTTTCCTGCACACTATGCTGGGTTTTACTACTGCAATCACAGAGGTTAAATGCATAGATAGTATGCCTGTTTGCAAAATTAGCAATTCCTAACTTATCTTCCTTCCTTTTGTAAGCCTATTCATGTGAAATTTTGATCTGACCAGATTTCTTACGGGCGGTTCAACGCAGCCGAAAATGGAAACTGCAACATAGACTTGTTTGTGGTGCAAAATGATGGAAAGAAGATTGTCGACTCCAACAAGCAGAAAGCTTTATGTTCTCGTTTGAGAATGGAGTTATCCTGTTCGCTACGAGTGAATCTGATCAGCCGGGGGCCTGACACTGAACTTATAGTTGCGAATCCAGTTGAATTATCTGGCAAGGGCCGGCCTCTTGTTTTCTTTGACATCACCCTTGCACTTAAAATCCTCAAGATAAGAATCTTTCTGGTATATCTTTGCTCTTTCAATCTGATTACATCTTTTCAAAGACCACCAATTTTTTTAATTATCAGCTACATATTCTGGAAATTGCCATGACAGAATATAGCAGTTATAACCATCACATGCCTGACATCAATCTTTGGTCGGGCAATTTCAGATATTTTCTTCCCACTCTTTGCATAAAACTTTTACCGCATCAATTTTTAAGCCGAATCCATTAGCTGATACAGTGTCCGAATCTGGATTTCCAGGCGGAGATTGGCAGGCATGTTGTTGGTGATAGAGAGTGGGAAGTTTACAGAGTCCATCTCGGCGACGATCATGAGCTTTGTGGATCAAGGGACAAAATTGTGGAGGCAGTGACAAAAATGTTGATGGGTTGGCACTGATCCGGCATCGTCAACGTTCTCTGATTCTGAGGTTTATGAAGTCTTCTTCTACGGCACAGAAACATCTTCAGCCTAAATCACTGCTCAACATAACATACCCAGTGGTGGTGTAAATATTTCTAGGGTTCATATACTAAGACCAGAAAGTGTGCTGACAAGTTACTTCTCTCTCACTAGTTTTGTTTTGTACATGGTAGCTTTAGGCAAATAGGAATCCTTACTACATCCAAAGTGACAGTAGAAGATACAATTTGTATGTCCAATAACTAGTAATTACTTGTTCATATCCATCCATCTTGTTTGGTTTTGAAACTCTTTCAAGCTTTCCGTAGATCACTTTTCTAGAGAATGTGACAATCCACCATTATCATCATAGTCATTTTCCTCTAGTGCAGGGGAATTCCGATGCATCTAAATAAAACCCTTATCCTCTACCCTGGTAATGTGACCTCTGAAAACCCGTTGTCTTCTTCTTCCCTGGGACGCATACTGGTAATGTGACCTCGCTTGCTGGGGTCATCGCCGTTGCTGTGGCTGCCGTGGGATGTAACCGGCCGTATGCAGTGATCTGGCAGGGCCGACCGCTGCGGATGATGCCCGGTCGCCATGGCAAATGCGCCTTTGACGAAGCAATAAATCCCATCTCAATCGTCAGTCTCTGCGTTACCACTTGCGTTATGCTAATTTATGACCATTAGTGATGTGCTTTTACCAAATGCCTTTAATCTTCTGCTACATGTCGAGAAGGTTTATGTATCGGCATCACACTCCATAAGCGCGTGCTAATCGTCGTCACGTACGGCCATGCCCGTCCATCCATCATATGGTCCACCTGCACCACATTAATCCCAAATCCACATACATACATCATCACAACAATCCGTCCCACTTAAATCCCCCAAATATTAATCCGATTGGGAAATTAATTTCTACATATTTATTTACCTAAAAATGGGGTGTTTTGCAGCCTGGTTGACCACCAAAGTCAAAGTTATGCAAACCGCAACGTTGACACGTATCCCACGTTTGGCGTCCTACGCGCTCGGACCCTGCGAAGCGTCTTGGGGATCGAACAGCGGATCCGAGGCCGAGCTGCCGACCTTGCTGATGGGAGCCACCTACGAAGCGTAAACCACGCCCGTCACCCTTCGTTCGATAGATACCGTTGATCTATCGTTAACAGATAAGAAAAGCCATAATATGATTCTATCATTAAACATGGAGAGAGAGAGAGGAAATCTTATTCTCTTTCATAATGTAATAATTAGTGCATCACGAACACACTGCAAAAAATATCGTGAATACACTGTAATAAGTAATCTTTATGTTGTAGCAGTAACATCATTTGAGGTCTGGCAAGGGGAGGAGAGGAGACATTACTTTTAACCTGTGTTAAACTCATCTAACACTGCGGTCTGGCACATAACGAATGATGATTGAACATAGGGAGAGGTAAAAAAGCCAAGCTCGATCAATAGTGCTGTTCAGCTTTACACATTTCACTTAGTACACAACAATGCTTTCCTTCCATGGATTAGCTAATAACCTGTTTGGCCTAGAAAAAACTTGATGCCACAATGATAATCTTCAAAGTGAACATAGAAGAACAATTACTCGATTATTATCAGTTCACTCATTTTACAGATACTAAATTACCTGTCTGATGGAAACAAAACTTCCTCCCGTAAACAGATGAGAATCTGGAACTGTAGATAAATACTTGTAAGGATATACTGTTGCGGAAGCCTGGTCTGATGCAGAAAAGAAGATAAAACTTGGTCACGGCATGTCTCACTTGTTTCTGCGGCAATGCCAGCACAATCTGGTGTTATGTTCCATATATGTGTCTGTGAATGGGGGCATCAAAGTCCCTGACAACTTCCATCCACTGCTTCTCTATTAGCAGAAGAGAATTATCTGACATGTGACTCACGAATAAGGCAGGATCTCTGAATGCAAAAAAATCAAAATTCTTTTTGTTAAAAGGTTTAGATTTCTGTTCTAGATATTTTCGCTTTCGCTTTCCTCCAAAAATTTTGTTATAATCATTTTTCTCTAGTGGTAGATCTGAATGAATGGGGCTTTCATCATCTTGATCAACTGGCAACCCAAAGTCGATAAAGCACATCGCCCTGTATGGATAAGAAAAGGTCAAAACATGATTAAGGATCCCCCTGAACACTAGTGTTGGTGGACAAATGTCCTTTCAGACAATAAAAGTCAAATCCTTTGCAATGAAATATAATATCAAAAAAATATAATGAAACAAACGAAGACGTTGATCTCACACTAGTTGGCAGCCTGATGCAAAATAACACAAGTAAATCTTTCCAGATTTAATTTCATTGAATCACCTCGAGCAGTTAACAAATATGATTGTTCAATTTTACTTTCAACTCATTAGAGAGGTTCTCGACTATAATGATCTTTATTTACAAAGATTTACTAAATGTCAGTGCCACATTATTCAAAGAAGTATGCTAATGCAAACAAAAGAACTTCCCAAGTGAGCAAAACACATTAAATATCAAAGAGTTGCTGCTTTTGGTAAAAGCAACAACTAAATATAAAATAATTGCTTAATTTGTTGGTCCTCAAAGTAATAGTAAAGCAGTTCTCAGACAAGACATAGTTCAACCTAATTTCCTTGCTTTATGAAAGTTAACATACAAGTGCACATTTATGTACCACCATGAAAAATCAGCCATGTTACTAAAGCTAAACAATGAAGACAAATCATACCTTGCACTATATATGATAACTGAAGATGATAAGGAGAAAGGCAGAAAAGTGAGGCCAATGATCTCTCCTGGAAATTCTTGAAATCTTCGAGGAAGATGGTGACTGTGGTGCTTTGACCATTCACCTAACTGTTTTGCTTCTAAATCAAACACAAAGACTTCATTACAAGATGTTGTGACGACAAACACATTACTGTTTTTAGGAGGAAAACCGGCAGCAGTGACAGAAGCATCGTTCAACCTGGATATGAACCAGTGTTGCCTGCCAAACGACAATAAAACTGTCTCGATCAACCAAGACTATTACAATTGAACTAACAAGCAAATGAAAAAATAGAGGCACAAAAGGGATGTTAATCTGTAACAGGCACATGCAAAGTTTTTAGGCCAACTGAAGAAAGAAAAGGTGTCACACAGCAGATATACAAATTCTCTCAACATAAAGTTTCCAGGTTGATGATAATCATGGCTAAAAAAAAAACAATTTATAGAATATACTCAAACATCCAGAGTTCCAGCAAAAATTATTCACTTGACCAATTGAAAGATAGTTAAAAGAAATAATTTCAAAAAGACTATTTAAAAATTCTCACTCTCCCACCCCAAAAGATTATAATAAATATCAGAAAAGATAGTCAACTGTTGGTGAAATTTGTATATAACTGCAAATGATATTGGACTCAAATCAGTAAATGACATTATAGCTAAATCAACTTACCTGTCTATCTCTAAATTAAATATGTAGATGTCACCAAAACAATTAATAGCAGCTAACCACTGCCCATCTGCACTAGTGAACATTTTGGTAACAGGAGGCTCGCTGGGTGCAAATTTCAAATTATCCAACTTCCTTTGAGGGACAAAAGTGTGAACTAGCTCTGATCCTTTGATGTCCACAACCTGTTCTCCAAAACACGCTCAACATCAGTGATAATTGATAAGAAGTAAAATGAGACACGGTAGAAGTATTAGCAAAAGATCTGTGCCACTCAAACCCATGCATAAACAAGCAAGTAAAGACAATAAATAAGCTATCAAGAAACAAAACTAAGAAGTTCACTTAGTACAGCTGACTAAATCTGCCCTAAATCCTCAATTACAAAACAAAATTAACTTACATAAATATTTCTATCATGACCAGCTAGCATCAGGCGTGAGGAATCTGCACTGAAAATCATAGTGTGCGCATGCAACAGCCTCTTAGGTAACTTTATTTTGACAATAGACCACTTGCTTTTTCCAACTTTTTGTTTTCTCAATTCAAAGAGGTAGGGCTTTACTTGATCAGAGTATGCAAAGAGCATTCCAGAAGTACTTATTGCACTACAAACAATTTTTCTGGATCCTTTGCTTTTCACCCGAGCAAGAAGTTGTGTCGCCACCTCTTTACCATTTAACTTGACATGCAAAACATCCAATGCACCAGAGGATTGAACAAGCATTGTTGAAGCCCCATGTACAACTGTATTATTCACCAACTTTATCAATGGCTGCTGAGGTGCAGGGCAAATATCATGAGGTGAGAATTGGGTGAACTCTCTAGCAGAGTAAGCAAATAACTTTGCATCATCGCCTCCAGAAATGAGCATTGGGACCCCTAGATGTGCCCATCTGTGATAACTAAAACTGATGGGTTTCTCTTGACGACGTACCTTGTGCACCTTCTCATCAGGTAATGTATCTATCAAAGAAATTATGGAACATACACAAGTTCAATATGATGTTTAGAGTGCAATGCAAACAAGAAAAAATTGAACACTTCATTAGTGGTTCATATTAGCAAACCTTCTCTATTAATTGGTACTGTCATTGCCAATGCCCTAACATCATGAGTATGAGCCCTTATATATCCAACATAGGTCCATTTAACCATTTCTTCCTTAGGAAGCCCCTCTTTCTCCGTACTAATCATATCAGTCGAAAGCTTATAAAGAATAACCTGGACAACCATGAGAATGAAGTTTATCAGTTACAGCTCAATAACACATTTAGATTCATAGATCTAAACCTGTATTTACAAGTTAAGAATACAAGAATAAGCTAAACCAATGATTTTGCATGGTGTAATCAAAGCTTCCCTCTAAATAGTGTTGATCTACCTTCTATATATCATGTGAGAATATATCTACATGACAAATTGAGCAATGAAGCAAATACACATGATTATTATGACCAAAAATGAAAGAGAAGAACTTTGCAAGAGCATATTCAAGATCCTTCACAGTGCAGTGGGGAACAAATAAAACTGTAACTCAAGGGTGATACTTGAACTGCTACAGACGCTTCAAGCTTTCTAGAGTCTTGTGCATTGAAGCATAGCAATTCAGAGGTAGATCTTACAGCTCAACCAACACCCAAATGTTAGTCACTGCAACTACACTAATTAATTATTGAGGGTGTCCTCAGCTTACAGATAAGCCATCACTACTCTAAATCTAGCTTCTTGTTTTCTTGATCATTCATTCTCTTTGACTAGCAAAAAAGAACAAATATGTTACCTTTCCTGAAGCCTATATTTTGTCTAAGCAAGAAAATAAATTTCATATGCTATGCTTCATAATTATGCTTGATAGATCATCTTGTTAATTTTATACACTGCTTAAGCTGGTCCCATGTTCAAAGTGGTAAAGTTGAGATTAAGCCATTAAGCAATTGTAGAAAGATAACAAACATTGTAGACACGATTGAATACCTGATTCACAAATAGGTATGTCATATTTATTACTAGGTAAAAAAGCCTTCTTTTTTCATCCACCAAAAGAATCCAATAACGTACATTGGAAGCTAAGTATATTTAACAACTGAAAGCCACTTATATGATAATGATATGAACTCAGTACCTGTCCATCTGAACCAGCAGAAAACACCCTGTTTTGACTAGGGACAGCAGCTAAAGCATTCACATCACCCTTATGATAAGTGAGTGCTTGCACAAGTGTTCCATGGTGACTGTCCCAGAATTGAACACTCCCAGTACTATCTCCACTGATAAGTGTGCCAGACCTAATAGAATAGCTTGTGGATGAGAGAAGAATTGGCTAGAAAGGAGTTTCACATAGACATCCAAATAACTATAGCATTTTTTTAATTACCTTAAGAAGAGCAATGACAACACACAAAGGTCCGGTCCACTGCCCAAACCTCCGAGCCCAACTGTAATGCGGTATGTCTCGTGGAAAGATGTAACATTCCAACATCTTATGAAACTGCAAGAACCATCAGGACAACAACATGATCCTGTAAAAATATGTTCTAAATAGCACAAAAATAATGGCCGAGAAGAAAACAGTAGTACATGACGAAAGGTCAACACACCACAGAATGAAGCTAACAAGGAAGGATTGGGCTTACATACAAATACAAAAGGGTAACAAGATTAACATATATAATATACAGTACAACCATTAACAAATGAACATACCCATCACTGCTCCCTGAAAATATCAACTCTGCATTTTGGCTCCATGTAACACTCAAAATTTGCCCTGCAATTAAGGAAATAACAAGTTTTCATAATAGAAATAACGAAAAATAATGAGGAATAAGGTTAAGAATCTAACCGCTAACCCTGGGGAAAGATCTGCTGCAAGTCAACCCATCTTTATCAGAGACGCTATACATTCGGATACAACCATCATCACAGGCAACAGCCAAACGTTGACTAGATGTCTGAGAGGCTACAGTGTGAAGCTCATCAGATTCATCGTCATCATCATTAAGACAAGATTCAGAATCACTCTGACCATCATGATTTGTGCAACCATTTGGTACAAGTCCAGAGTCAGTCTTCTCTGATTGCAGTGAATCAACAGAAGGCTCTACAGCCATCTGCCAGATAGACACTCCAATTGAATCTAGTGCGATCTAGAGGAACCACATTAACAGGACAATCTGAGTATTGCAGTATTATAAACAAATGAACATTAAACAGCAAAATTTCTTAATCCATTGAGATTGCATGATAAAATTAATCAAGCAAAAAAACACCAGCCCGTTTAATGATAGCATTACAGCTTCAACTAGATTTTTAATATGTAATGCTCAATACTGCAGCTAAATAGATGTTAATAACAGAGTGAAATGGATCCTCACTGCAGTTTCCACATTTGTCCCGTCTTAGGTTCCATCTGTACTTGGCCCTTGTGGCCAATATGGACTTTGATTGGTCCTTAACCATAAGGCTCTGAAACCTCTTTTTTTTTTCTTTTTTGAGAAAAAGTTCCTCACCTTATGCAATTGCAAGAAGTTTCATGTAATTCAAAAATGTCCGACTCTTCTCATACTCATGAAATATATTAATAAATCCCTCATAACTCTCCATTGATTTGAGAAGGCTCATAACTGTACTTAATTGAGTCATAACACATGTAAGTTGAAGTTGACAATAGGGAACACAATAAGTAACTCTTAGGTTCTTGAAACTAGTTTTCATGGTTTCAAATCATCAGTGCAGCTCTCAGCACATGATTCACCTTACAGAAATTTACTATAATAGAAGTCACACTATGTAAAACGCCCAGATCAAGTTGCAAATTCATGCACAAGAAACTTGTGACAAGGCTAGGTGACTAATTTGAGCAAATTTGATGCATTGACCAGTTGCATCCTACATTGCTAGCATGCAGAATTGTAGTTTCAGCAAGTACAACAAGAGGCAAGAACGGGTCTTTAATGCAAAAACAAAAAAGAAAAACCGAACCTTTTCGTTTAGCGAGTACAGATCCCACTCTGATATCGACCCATCTATTCTCGAGGACAGCAACCGTCCAGGGCCGGCGCTCTTCGAACTCGAGCGGCACCAGACCAACGAAGAAATCCTCCGACTAGGATCTCCTTGAACCGTCTTCAGGGAAAACACATAGATTAACATTTAGAAAATAGTTAGGGCAACAAGAACAAGAAACAACCAACACCACGACGGCCCATGAACCGTACAAGCTGGCAATGCCATCCAACGGAACCAGGCGAAACGAGCCATATCTCCACGGACCCGTCCTCCCGCGCCGCCGCCACCTGCGAGCCGTCCGCGCTAGTGGCCAAGGCCACCACCGCCGACGGCTTCCACTCCACCGAGCTAGTCCGATGAATTCGCAGCTTTTCCATGAGGAGAATCACGGAAGAATCTCCAAGTCAAAATCTGTGATCGAGATCAGAGGAGCGCGATGGCGGCCGGACGCCGCAATGACGAGGGTTTTGAGACGCCAAACCCTGCCCTTTAAGAAGCGGTTCACGCAAATCTCTTTGTAGCAACCTAAGTTACGCGACCAGTACGGCACACGCCACATATCGCCCGACCTAAGTCCCGGCCTAAGGCCTTCCCTCCGATATATATATATAT